CACAATACTTTCACCTACTCTCCAACCTAAACCCCAAGGTTCAATTTTATTTCTGCATCTTTTACCATCACTAGAAGACCAAAAGGGTTTTTGTGTGTGTGAAGTAGGCAATGATGATATGCAAATAGTACACAAATAGATGTGGTGTAGTGTATGTATGCAACATTATGTAACGTAACAACGACAAAGCTGCCATTCAAGATAGTTCTTTGTTTGTTCTTCATTTATTCATATTCTGCCTTTCAAAAACATTTAAAGCCATCCAATTATGTTGGGGGTTAAGTGGCTCCAATTTGACTTTGGGGGGGAAAATTCACTCTGACGCTAATGGATCATAATCAGTTATGCCTGAGGGAATCGACCTACTTGTCAAGTTATTAGCCGGATCCCCACAATACCCAACCTCTCGTCCCTTGTTTTGACATGAATTTGGGAATCCAGGTGACTAGAGATGAAAGGCACGAGTAGCTGCTTAGGTTTCCCGAAGCACCCTGATATAAAGTTAAATATCTGCGACAGAGAGTGATAACCACGAAATGTGAAAAGCAGGGGGAGGTGAGGAGAAGGAGATTGCACTGTGACTTCTGTAGCTATGGGGAAAGATGTGAATTTTCAGTAGAAACGGTTCAGTCTAATTCATGTAGTTCTGCATAGACTGTACACCTCATTCTGATTTCCCATCTTTGAATCCTCACCAAAGGATTCAGGCATTAACCAGTTCTTATCAATACTGATAACTGGACATCTCCCCTGAAAAGTAGTACACATAAACAGTCTGAAATGAAACCCACAGCCTAGACCTAAAATTCGATTAGGTACATGATGTTGTTGGCATTGTCTCTTAACAGACAATGGCGTGCACCTCTGACAGTGAAGTCAAACCGATGTGTTAAGCAGCACCTAAGTGACCTCCCTGGGTCACAAACTTCAGCGGTGTATATAGAGGCCCTGGGCTGCCCAGATGACAAGACTCTTAGCCTTGCTGATGTGGTTCAAAGGAAAGCAGAGAATATGTTTGGCACCAGCTTGGTGCAGTAGTTGCCAGAAGGAGGCATAAAAGGCACCATCCAACCATCTTAGGGACTCCATTCTCTATTTGTGTAAGGTTTACTCCTTAGCCTTTTCTTCTCCTGAAGATATCCCACAAGGCAGCGGAGGTTTAGGATCAGAGTTTTCCTCCTAGGAGGAGCCAGTGTGGTGTAGTGGTTAAGAGCAGTAGACTCGTAATCTGGTAAACTGGGTTCACGTCCCCGCTCCTCCACATGCAGCTGCTGGGTGACCTTGGGCTAGTCACACTTCTCTGAAGTCTCTCAGCCCCACTCACCTCACAGAGTGTTTGTTGTTTTCCTAGGTGGTCTACTTTCCTTGGTTGAGGAGCCCCATCTGCCCCTCCCTTCTCTCTACAGCAGGTGCAGAAACTACCTTCTTGACCATTGGACCCACTATTGGTTTTGTCTGCTCAATCCACTGGAACCCGTCTTTGCATGCAGGGCAAGTTCCCAGCTCACTACGGCTTTGAGACTCATCGGCTACCCTCACCTGGTTTAGCCTGCCAGTCGAACAACTTTTGGAAACAGAGCTGTGTTCTTGTTCTTGTACAGTGGTACCTTGGTTCTCAAACACCTTGGTATGCAAACAACTTGGAACCCAAACACTGCCAACCTGGAAGTAAATGTTTGTGAACTTTTTTCAGAAGCCAAATGTGCTCCGTTTTGAGTGTTGTGCTTCTGTTTTGAGTGCCACACTTCCGTTTTGAGTGTTACGCTGGGGTCTGTCTGTTTTTGCTATTTATTTAGCATTTCTGTTTTGGCGGCTCTTTTTTTGTTTTGTTTTTGTGACTGTGTGGAACCCAGTCCAGCTACTGATGGATTGATTGTGTGACCGCAGAACATTGTTTATTGCTTTCATTTTATGGATTAATGGTCTCGTTAGATAGTAAAATTCATGTTGAATTGCTGTTTTAGGGGTTTTTAAAAGTCTGGCATGGATTTATCCATTTTGCACTACTTTCTACGGGAAAGGGCGCCTTGGTTTTGGAACGCTTTGGTTTTGGAACAGATTAAGTTTGAGAACCAAGGTACCACTGTAGTTGAAATGTGAATGTTTGGTGATGGGCAACAATCTTTTGCTGATCAGCTAGGCGAATCATATGTAAATTGAAGAGGTCCCTTCCCCCTTTTTGGGCAAGTCGTGTAGCTAAGATGGATAGAATGTTGTTGTTTTACTTGCGCATTATTATTATTAAGACTATGCTTGACCCTCACCCAAATTGAAGAAAGGGATATGATATATGCAATACAAAATACAACTGATCCACAAAGTGGAGAGGGCTGTGCGTTCAGCAGCACTTTTATTGAATGCTACAAGAAAAGTATTTCTGTTTTTGGTGTGTCACAGCTGCTAATCCTTCGGTCACAAAAGAGCTAAAGTAGATGATAATAACAATAAACCTTGAGACTTTGCCTTGAGGCTTCTGCTGGACTTGCTGCTGAGATGAAATGGACAAGGGGCTTCTCTCCAGACTTTGTCTGTTTTTACCCAGGAAGTTTAAAGTGGCTTTTGTTTCCATTGATTTGCGTTTGCCTTGAGAATGTCTTGGTTTAACTTCATGAAGACATTGTGCACAACAGGAGTGCACAGACTTCCAGCAATTTTTGTGCGCGTGTTTTAAACTGTAAAAAGGGATCATAATATGTAATGGGAAGGTGAGAGAGATTAAAGTTTCACTCTGGATTTACTTCTGAGTAGGCATGCATAGGATTGCACTGCTTAAATCCCCGAAGCAATAAAAGTGTTGACGCCTGCTGATCACATTCAGAGTAATCTGAAGTCCTCCCATGGACTGAAGAAGACAACTGGAGATCTTGTCTCCTTTTAAAGTATCAGTTGAACAAAGTCTTTGCACAGGATACTAACAGTGAAATCCTCTATTTGTTTACTCAGAAATAAGCCCCACTTAGTTCAGTCTGGCCTATTCCCAGGTAAGTGGCCATAGGATCATAGCCAAAGTCAAGAAAACCAGGGCTTTATGATGCTTCTCTTTTATAAATGAAATATTGAACTGTTTTGTTTTCTTCTCAAATGAAAGGGGGGCTTTTCACACAACAATCTTCTCATTTGTTGTACACAAGCCACAGGTTTTTGCCTTGGTGATGTTGCACTATTCAAACTCCAATATTTCATCACTGATAGAGATGCAGGTTTATTGCAGTTGGTATTTGGTGGTTTTGTGTGTGTCATGAGTCCCAATTAATCATCAGACATGAATGACACATTTCCTTTCACCATGGTGGACAGATGCAAAAGAGAACAGGGTTCGCAGCACTGTTTGGGAGAATGGAAAACATCTGCAGGTGATGCAATAATTTTGCAATATCCCCCCCCCCCCAGACTAACTCCCAATTTTAAAATATTGTTCTTAAAGCCATGAGAGGCGTGTTACAAGATTTGTTGGAGATTTGTTAAAAATAACCCAGTTAGCAGCATGTTTTCACGAGTGACACCATGATGGCTTATTTTGTCTTTAATGCATCACTTCTGAAACGCAATACAGAAAGTAATGCTGAAAACAGATGAGACTCATGTGTAAGATCAAATTCATCGACATTCTGATTTGCATGGATCATTTTAAAGTTTCAGGAAATGTGTGGGAAAGAGCTGGGAGAGATTTGCAGCTGAATCAATGTGACTTACTCCAAAGTAAGCATGCATACAGCACAGAGAGAAACTTTCAGCATTGCTCTTTCAGAGGCGAGGCCTGGATCCCTCACAGCAACGTATTGGGAACATTATAATAAAGGGAAGCAGTGGGGGAGAGGAAGCAATCTGGAGTGGACAAGAGGCAGTTGTGAAATGGGTCACTTAGTCATATAGCTCTTTCCTAAAGCTGCTGTTTGTGGGAAAGGAGCTATCTGGGTGGCTTTGCCTTCATATCTGAAGGAGCGTCTCCACCCCCATCGTTCAGCCCAGAAACTGAGATCCAGCTCTGAGGGCATTCTGGCGGTTCCCTCCCTGCGAGAAGTGAGGTTACAGGGAACCAGGCAGAGGGCCTTCTCGGTAGTGGCGCCTGCCCTGTGGAACGGCCTCCTCTCAGATGTCAAGGAAATAAACAACTACCTGATTTTTAGAAGACAACTCTGAAGGCAGCCCTGGTTAGGGAAGGTTTTAATATTTGATATTTTATCGTGACTTTAATAATCTGTTGGGAGCTGTCCAGATTGGCTGGGGAAACCCAGCCAGATGGGCGGGGTATGAATAATAAATTATTATTATTGTTTTATTATTATTGTTGTTGTTGTTTAATCATTTAGTCATATCTGAATCTTCGTGACCCCATGGACCAGAGCACACCAGGCACTCCTGTCTTCCACTGCTTCCCGCAGTTTGGTCAAACTCATGTCGGTAGCTTCGAGAACACTGTCCAACCATCTCGTCCTCTGTCGTCCCCTTCTCCTTGTGCCCTCAATCTTTCCCAGCATCAGGGTCTTTTCCAGGGAGTCTTCTTTTCTCATGAGGTGGCCAAAGTATTGGAGCCTCAGCTTCAGGATCTGTCCTTCCAGTGAGCACCAAGGGCTGATTTCCTTAAGAATGGAGAGGTTTGATCTTCTTGCAGTCCATGGGACTCTCAAGAGTCTCCTCCAGCACCAGAATTCAAAAGCATCCATTCTTCGGTGATCAGCCTTCTTAATGGTCCAGCTCTCACTTCCATACATATTATCTGTGAGTAAATGTGAAATCAAGTCTGCAATCCCATGTACTTTCTTGTAAGGTGACCAGATGAAACAGAGGACGTGACTCCTGTATCTTTAACAGATGTGCAGAAGAGGGAATTCCAGGATGCGTGGTTTGCATGACGAGCTTCATCTGCTGAAATTCCCTCTTCTACACAGCTATTAAAAGCTACAGGAGTCCTGTCCTCTATTCATAGAATCACTGAATTGTAGAGTTGGAAGGGGCCACAAGGGTCATCTAGTCCAACCCCCTGCAAGGCTGGAAACTTTTGCCCAGCATGGGGCTCGAACCCACAACTCTAAGATTAAGAGCCTCATGCTCTGCCAACTGAGCTATCTCATCTGGTCACCTTCCTTACCTGTACAGGACTGGGCTACATGCATGGCCCTTTGAGATGGCTGCCCATTGTATACCCTTATGTGCTAAATTTATTCCAAGAATAATAAACGGCACTGCATTTGCCATTTCATTTTAGCTCAAGCACTGTACGCTCAAAACTACACATCAGGCACTCGGTGCAATTCAGGCTCACTGGGGTGTGAAAGCATTTGAATTTCCAGCTGAAGAGCTGCGCTTTCAAAAGCACTGGAATAGGCTATTAGTCTTCAACAGGTTCATATCTTTAACACTTACTCATTTAAGAGTGATTGATAATCACTGCTTCCCTTAAGTGCTTTAAACACATTACCAAGAAAGGCTGTGGCCGCCTGCTTGTTCCCTCCACCTCCTTATTTCCTTGATAGATCAAGTCAATGGTGTAGCCCTTTCTTCATCAGAAACAAAAATAATAATAATTGGTGCTCCTTTGACACAGGAGCTGTCACAAAGCTAGCTTGTATTTGCTTACAATGGATTCTCTATTGCCCCATTTGCAGAATTCTGCCACTTTCACTCAGTGAAATAGTTTGCTCTGGTAATGCATCTACCATCTTGTTGGGCTACCCGGAGAGAAAGGTATTATTCAGCGTTAAAGAGAAAGCCAGGAGTGCAAAAGTGATGTCTCTTACACAGGCTTTGTTGAGGGGGCGGGAAAGGTTTCATTTAGCAGATTTATTGTTTAATATGGAAATCATTTATAGTGTTCCAGTGTAATGCACACATCCTCAAAAGTCCTGTTCCATGAATATGTTGTTGTTGTTGTTGTTTAATCGTTTAGTCGTGTCCGACTCTTTGTGACCCCATGGACCAGAGCACACCAGGCACTCCTGTCTTCCACTGCCTCCCACAGTTTGGTCAAACTCAAGTTGGTAGCTTCGAGAACACTGTCCAACCATCTCGTCCCCTTCTCCTTGTGCCCTCCATCTTTCCCAACATCAGGGTCTTTTCCAGGGAGTCTTCTCTTCTCATGAGGTGGCCAAAGTATTGGAGCCTCAGCTTCAGGATTTGTCCTTCCAGTGAGTACTCAGGGCTGATTTCCTTCAGAATGGATAGGTTTGATCTTTTTGCAATCCATGGGACTCTCAAGAGTCTCCTCCAGCACCATAATTCAAAAGCATCAATTCTTCGGCGATCAGCCTTCTTTATAGTCCAGCTCTCACTTCCATACATCACTACTGGGAAAACCATAGCTTTAACTATACTGACCTTTGTTTGCAAGGTGATGTCTCTGCTTTTTAAGATGCTGTCTATGTTTGCCATTGCTTTTCTCCTAAGAAGCAGGTGTCATTTAATTTCGTGACTGCTCTCACCATCTGCAGTGATCATGGAGCCCAAGAAAGTAAAATCTCTCACTGCCTTCATTTCTTCTCCTTCTATTTGCCAGGAGGTGGAAGATTCTATTCTTGAAGTGGGGACTTACTCAATAAGGTAAAAGTTAAAGGACCCCTGGACGGTTAAGTCCGTTCAAAGGCAACAATGGGGAGGAGGTGCTCATCTCGCTTTCAGGCTGAGGGGGCCAGCATTTGTGCACAAACAGCTTTCCAGGTCATGTGGCCAGCATGACTAAACCGCTTCTGGCACAATAGAACACCTTGATGGAAGTCAGAGTGCACGGAAACGCCGTTTACCTTCCCGATGAAAAGGTGGAATATAAAAATGGCGGCCAAATGGAAAAGAAAAAGAGGGACACTGTTCCTGCGTAGAAGAGGGAATTTCTGCTAAATTTATTATTAAAAAACTGGCACGGCAGCTCATTGCTTTACTTACTTGTTACATGCACGCACTGCATATAACTCGAAATTTTGTGGGGCTGTTTCGGTGGGTTGAAAACAATTATGTGCAGCAAGATGTCAGGAAGAGGCATCAGATCTTAATCTATGAACGTTGCACTTTGGCTCACTGCTGCAAGTCATGTTTGTTCCCATCTTACATCAGATTTGATCTTGGACTTATCTGGTGCTGCTGTCACTTAGGTCACTGCTAACCTGCTGGGTATAAATGCTAAGTATCAAGGCAGCCTCGAGTTGTTTGCCTGAGCAGCAGTTTCTCTTGGCTTGGTCTTTTGCTTCTCTGCATGCCCCTCCCTCTCTGAACCAGATGCAGTATCCTGATTCTGCCCCCCTTCACGCAAGGCCCTCCTGCTTCTGATTTCTACGCACATTGCAACAGGACTACGTCTTCAACTGCAGGCGTTTGGTTTGAGCATGCCAGCATCCTCCTGCTCCCACACCATTATTCTGACCTCAGCTCACTTGTAACAGTTAATTCCATCTCCCAGCTGATTTTCTGCCATTTCTGTCTTGGCTGCCCACCTTCCTCTCTGCATTGTCCCAGATCGTAAAAGCATACCAGTGCAAGTAGATAAATAGGTCCCGCTTTGGCGGGAAGGTAAACGGCGCTCTGGCTTCCGTCACAGTGTCCTGTTGTGCTAGAAGCGGTTTAGTCATGCTGGCCACATGATCTGGAAAGCTGTCTGTGGACAAACACCAGCTCCCTTGGCCTGAAAGCGAGATGAGAGCCGCAACCCCGTAGTCGCCTTTGACTGGACTTTACCATCCAGGGGTCCTTTACCTTTTACCTTACTCACCTGGGCTTCAAGCTCCAAGCCCTGGTCCAGAAAATACACAAACCTGTAGCTAGCAGACACACACTGAGAACCAGCAGGGGTGGGCAGACTTCAAGAAACGAACAAACGTATTAACATCCAGTTAACAATTTTCTTTTGAGAGTTTTCTTGGATACTATACGAGATCGTTGTTTTTAAACCAATAAGCTTACTGAACTGTAGGGTACCTGGGCCTAGGGTTGTGTGTTTACAGGATGCATGAAGTCCAAAGGGCTTTTGTTTGTTTGTGCATTCACAGTCATACCTCGGGATAAATACGCTTCAGGATAAGTATTTTCGGGTTGTGCACCGTGGCGACCTGGAAGTAACGGAGTGCGTTACTTCCAGGTTTCGCCGCTCGCACATGCGTAGATGGTCAAAATGACGTCACGCGCATGCGGGAAGCGGCAAAACGCAACCCGTGCAGACGCGCTGTCGCATCTTATGTTCTGTTCAGGATGCGAACGGGGCTCCGGAACAGATCCCATTCACATTCCCAGGTACCACTGTATTTATAACATGCAATATCCCACCCTTTAGTTCCAACCAGAGCTCTTAGGGAGGTTCATGATAAAAGCCGGAGGCCTGTCCAATATTTTTTCCCCTTTTCACTCCGTTGTTTACTGTTTTCCCGTTGCTTGTTTTGAGGCTTGGGCAAGCTGGGTTGTCCTCTTATATACCTGCTGGGATTGACAAGGCATATGACCCTCACCTGAATCTCATAGCTCTCCTGACGAGTGCTTTGGTCTGTCCACCAGATACCAGGCACTCTACTATTCTAATTAGATATTTTGTTGCCATTTGCAACTGTAGCCACCTCTGATTAGTTATCATTTAACTCTTGGGGAAAATAATTAGCATCACATGTCATGTGCATGGAAGTTGCCGAACCAATTAACCAACTAGAAGGATTACTGTTAATAGCACCACTTTTCCTGTAACTTGATACTGCGGGATAGTTTTGATAAACTGCAAAAGCATTTTTAGTTTGCTTTCTGTTGCCACCCTGGAACTTTTCTTTATTAGTGCCACTTTGTTTTGTATGATTCTTTGCAAATGAAGGAAAACAACTTTTCTGCTTGTATATGTTGATAATATAATTTTGCTTGTAGCCATACATCAATGAAAAAACTAAGCAGACTTTGTAAATGAGAAGGCCTTTTGCTGAGAAGTTGCAATATTTGGTATGTCTGCCGGGAAAAGGGCTCCGCAAACAGAGCCACCACTGAAAAGGTCCTTTACCTGGTCATCACGCATCTCCCCTAAGAAGAATCTCAGCAGAATCCATGGCATTCAAGACACTGGATAGAATGTATCCTAAGGCTTCATCCTTAAGACAATGGTACAACTGTGAGACCCACTCATGTGATCAAAGCATGCCTAAAATGCACAGCAACACTAACAATGTAGAGATGATAGACAAAGATAGAGTAGATCCGCCATCATGGCGGGTTTCCATTCTTTGGGTGAAAAGCAAGGGAAAAGATTAAAAGGTAACTGACCCTCTGTTGATTTTGATGAATATTGCCCACCATTGCTGCGACTGAGGATCTTTCACAAAGAACAGGTATTCTCAACATTAAAGGGTGTTGGGTTTTATTGGTGTGTTTGAATATGTCTTACCTTGTGTTTCATGTGACCTCAGTGGACAAGAGAACTTGTGATCTGTCACTGAGCTGGACTGGCTGGTAGGCTGCAAAGTCTTCATTTGGTCTGAATGTCTTTGAACAATCACTGGCGCCGAAGTGTCAGCTGAACCCTTTATTTTTTGGGGGGGAAATGGAAAATATTTCTTTTAGGGGGAAAAACAACACAAATCAATATCTGAATTCCATTCCGGCAGGAAAACAAAGTGTGCGAGTGGATTTGTAAGAATACAGCCTAAACTTCTGGACAGCTTCATGCAAATGCCCCCAGTTATACAGTAGAACCATTTAGGATCCGATCTACCCAGTTTCAGTTCTGTTAAGGCCTCTGGCGCTCCACAATATGTTGTTATCATTGTTATTTATTTACTATTTTCTTTTATCTTGCCCTTCCCCTCACGAATACCCAGGATAGCAAAAAACAACAAAGCCGCAGCGTGGAAATATAAAAAAGTTAAAGCACAGTACAAAGTCAGCCTTAAATTACATTCAAATTACATTTTACAAATGCAAAGGAATTGTAAATCGTTCAGATTTACAAAGTCCTGTCAGAACAAACAGGACTTGAGTTGCCATTCGAATAGTTATAATGTGGGGTGGATCTGGGTAGGGAAGGAGTTCCACAGCTGGGATACCACCATGGAGAAAATCTTGTTTCATGTGGTAATCCCATCCCCCCAAAATCCCCCTCCTCTGGATTTATACATGAGCACACAGC